ATTTTACTCAAGCCCAGGTTTAAGGAACAATCTGGATTAAAATACAGTTGACCTCAATACACAAAAACAATAAAAATGTCTATTTAAAATATCTAAAACTTACTAAAAGTGGGGACATTTGCATTGAAAAACCAACTTCGACAACGCTAGTTTGGGATCCACAGTTAAAATCAGACAAGCTCGCATGCCTCTATTTATGCAGGATTGCTGCAAAAGTGAATTCTCATCAAGTTATGAAATTCACAGCTGAATAAAAAAGAACTGTGTCTCTAGCTTCGAAATAAGATATTTCTAAAATAATTTGGCTGCCATTTGGGCAAATATATATGTGTGTTTTGTCTTGACAGCCTGTCAACTGGAAGACAGTTCTTGAACATCACATTCATTTCAATTTAATATTGGTAAATTTCTCAATTAGAATTGTATTCTTCACTTTCTGCACAATGAAATCCCTCAGCCTTTGCTGGCATTCCTCAGGGCATACGGGTGCACGTGCTGGCATTTCTGCCGTAGCAAAGGAAGAAAAATGAAATAAGAAAGGAGGGGAGGGAAGAGACAGGCTAGGAAAGAACACTGGTAAGGAGGAGAAAAAAAGAGATGGTAGCTGACCTTCTTCCAGATATTCACCTTCATGAGAAATGAAGGGAATAATTCACACTTCACAATAAAATAGTGCAGCTGCCTCTGCTTCCTTTAACCAGAGAGGCTGTAGTCAAACAGAAACCAGACATCCAATGCATAAAATCAATACATAAGGAAAGGTCCAAAGGTAAGGTGAGAAACAGATTAATAAAAATAATTTTAAAGCGGTAAACAACAACCAATTGTGGAACACTTATTTACTTTCTGACATACTTTTACATTGTACTTTGCCATGCAATTCCCACACAATGAAAGCAACATAAAAATTATTATCTTTGCTTTGCAGCTAAGAAAAATGGCAATATTTTAACCACCCCAAACTTCAAAGTCAACCTGATGATAAGAGATACAACCAAGATGCAAGCTCACACTGGAAACTTCAACACATCCCCTGTGGTTTTTGGAAGATGTGTTACAGGATAAAGACACATATGCATATATACTTAACATATACAACATACATAGCTATGAATTCTATATACAACATATACATGTTAATGTGAATTATTTAAATGTCTATTAGCAAAAACATTTTAGATAAATATATATGTGTGTACGTATTTACAGGTGCACATAGACACTTCATTATGTAGGTAATTCTATTTATTTATTTTATTGTTTTGAGACTAAATGTTGCACTGTCACCCAGGCTGGAGTGCAGTGACACGATCTCAGCTCACTGCAACCTCTGCCACCTGGGTTCAAGCAATTCTCCTGCCTCAGCCTCCCAAGTAGCTGGGATTACAGGTGCCCACCACCAAGCCTGGTTATTTTTATTATGATTATTTTTAGCAGATACGGGGTTTCACTATGTTGGCCAGGCTGGCTTTGAACACCAGGCCTCGTGATCCACCCGTCTTGGCCTCCCAAAGTGTGGGGATTACAGGCATGAACCACAGCCCCTGGTTGCCAATAATATTTTTTAAATCCTTTTCTTATCTGAAAAAGGATTTGCTGTTTGCAGATATTTCTGCAGTTTTCTTTCTCAACATATTTATCAGGCATATGACTTACATACACAGAAATGAGAGCCTCTGACACACAATCAATAGATATAGAGGTGTCATGAAGATGTAGAAATCATAATGAGGCAAAAATAACAGCTTCTCTGTTCAATGTTTATTAAAAACTGAGATAAAGTGTGCTATATGTTTTGCGGGCAGCAATCATTCTTTAAATCCATCTTACTCTAATCTAGATGAAAGGATGAATTAGAAAGTTCTCTGGGCTAAATGAAATGACCAAACAATACAAAAAAAAGAGAAAAAATATATATAGTGTTTCTCAGTTCCTGTTTGTCAGTCAGATGCCAAACAAAGTGAAATACGTAAGTGTTTTTGCTTGTTTATGTGTATGAGTGCCTTTTTATTTCGTGGTGGTTGGACTGATGGTAGAAAGATAACATTCTGAGAGAAGGACACAGGAGTTTTCCTAGGAAAAGTGTCATTCCAACCAGCCATAAAGAAGCAATTTTGATAAGAAGGAAAAAAATAAATAAAAATAGAGTTTCTTGTATAAGAGGTAGATAAAGTGGAGTCCTGGCAGAAGAAATACTTGGGTAACAAAAGAAGACCTGAAATCACTTCTGATTTGTTGCCAAAATGTGTGTATCTACCAAAGTCATATTGCAGTTAGGTAAGAAAAGAATCAAATGAAGCCAGACCATGAAAAGTCCACCTGGGTGGACTACCTGGGTAGGTAGCTGAATACCTATAAAATGTAAGGGATATTTTTTCCTCTGGGATGAATACATGTATCAGCTAAGAAATAACATGGTTAAAATCTAGCATGCTATTTGGAAAATTACTGAGATCATCAATAATCCCGTGACAGTCATTAAGATATGATTTAGGAGAGTGGTTGAAAGAAAGTAATGAGATGATGCATTAAGATTACATAGCAGTCAGTAGTAACTGGAATTAGGGATTAAATGGTCAGGCTAGGGCTGAGGCTTCATGAGTAAAAAAAGATTCAACAATATGGCTTGCACGTTGTACATGGGATTTGAGAGGGCATTGGGATCATTGATAAAGTCATAGAAGTCAGAAAACAGAAAAAAATAATTCATTAAAGTAATTAGTTTATTTTTTTCTTCTACCCAAAAGTGATTGCTATGCCATTTTGGGGTATTCTTTCTAGTCATTTTTTCCTATTTTTTTATTGTTATATTTTAAGTTCTGGGATACATGTGCAGAACATGCAGGCTTGTTACATAGGTATACACAAGCCATGGTGGTTTGCTGCATTCATGCACCAGTCATCTACATTAGATATTTATCCTAATGCTATCCCTCCCCTGGCCCCTCACTTCCCCACAGGCCCTGGTTTGTGATGTTCCCCTTCTTGTGTCCATGTGTTTTCATTGTTCAATTCCCACTTATGAGTGAGAACATCGGTGTTTGGTTTTCTGTTCCTGTATTAGTTTGCTGAGAATGATCGTTTCTAACATCATCCATGTACCCAGTTTGGTTTTTAATATGAAATTTAAGCTGTCTTTGAGATATCCAGATGAAAATGTTCATACAGCAACTGGCAATGTGGATTAATAGCTTTAGCAGACCCATAGGGTAAGGCATATAATTTTACAGCCAGCCACATCAAACAAATGGCTGAAGATATGGGAGTGACCACAAAAGATGACAGAGGGAAGGAGAGAGGAAAGGAGATGGCAAGGGGAAAAAGAGAAGAAGAAACAGGAGGAGGAGGAGATAAAGGAGGAGAACTAGTGGAGAAGGGTGAGAAAGAGGAAGAGGTGTAGAAAAAGGTAGTTTGAGGAAGAAAAAAGAACTGTAAGGAGCAAAATAACCTTATAGAGTAAGTGAAAAAACAAGAGAAAGTCAGTCAAACATAAAAGAAATAGATCAAGTCAAGGAGAAAACTAGGATATTCTCTTTCTCAGAAACGTCTGAGAATAACTTATTTGCAAATTAAGTCATTTATCCTACAAAGGATTTTCTTTATTTGAAATTTAAATTCCAACTAATTTCCATCAGGAGTGTTATAAACGCGCGCGCACACACACACACACACACACACACAAGCGCACACATGAGTATCTCACTGGATTGCTAAAATAAATTAAAATGCCAGGACCACATTTGGGAGGTAGGGACATTCTGTATTATACCTGATAATGGTCACCCAATTAATTTGAAAACCATAATCAATACTTTGCCTGTATTTGCATCTACAGTGAAAATGTTTTTGAAGACGCTATATATCTGTATACTTCTTTCTGGTGTTCATATCTTTATGAATTTGCAATATTCTTGAGCAATTTAATTTTATAAAACTTGTGAACTGGGTTCTTTATCAGGTTTTTTAAAAAATGTTTTCTTGCAGTTTATTTAAGGTTAAAATTGGGGGCTTTCAATGATGAACATACATGTCTATATTTATTGAATTCTGGCCTTCAGTTAATCTCTCTGTGTTTGTTTGTCTCATCATGTTCACCTGCTCCAAACCTATGTGACTTTACTACATAGCGTGCATCCTTAAGGTCTATCTGAAATGCAATTTGAAGCAAACTTGGATATGTATTATACATTAAAAATGGCTTTTGTAATCTTATACTTTGAACTTTAGATTCTGCCTGCTGCTTTGACATGCAAGGAAGAGCTCTAAACTCCTTTCTTTTATTATATAAAGTCTGGGGTGAGGAGTTTCTTATCACCAAGGCCAGGATTTATGGGTAGGTAAGGAGATCCAAAGAGGGAGAAACAAGAATAAAATCATGTTCCAAATACAGATTGCTCTGTAAAGTGGAATGGATTCTAAAATGGCTCAGAAAAAATTGACAGTGTGTCATTGGTACTACCAGTTGCTCCTAAAAATGTTGTTAAGATGGACACAAATACAGAGTCCCTTGGAAATGGTGATTGCCTAATCCACCCTAGACACAACCCACTAAAGCAACCTAATATCTGGCTGACTACACACCTAGGCAATTTTCTGTTTCTCTATGTGCTACATCTGCATGTCAATATACACAAACAAATAATTAAACACCAAGCAAATATCAACAGGATTATCTTGGCATGTTAGAACAAATCTTGATAAATCTGCCTCAGTAACAATAATCAAACTATAAGTCTATGAGAGGAATACAAATTCAGCCTATTGAACTATTGTCATGTAAGGAGAGATATTTTAATAAAACTGCTCTTCTGTCAGCTCCTATTACCAAGGGACTAAAGCTACTGAGCTGTGAAACTTAGGCCAAAAAGGGGGATTTGGAAATGCAAATTAGAGATAAGGCGGTAATAAATGTCTTTTATTCAGCAACACACGATCCTTGATGCCAGGAGCTATTTTAAAGATGATTTTTAATAGTTCTGTGAAATTGGATGCATACATACCCAAAATGGACATTTCTGGCACAGTAGCATGATAGGGTCCATTAAGAAACTCTGGTGCGTTGTCGTTGATGTCTTGAACTTTAATAATAAATTCAGAAGGAGGCTCCAGAGGTTTGCTTGTCTCCCAGTCCACTGCCTGAGCTGTTAGGGTATACTCAGCCTTTTCCTCTCGGTCAAGTCTTTTTATAGCATGAATATCTCCAGTTACATCATTTATTTGAAAGATGGTCCCAGCTCCATCACCTGATAGGATATACTTGATTTTTTTGCTCCCAGGATCCAGGTCTGTGTGTAGCTAAAAATGAAAAATGGCATTAGTTAGTGATGGAGCAATCTGAAAATTTATTTTTTTAACTACCTCCTTTTTGAATATTAAGTTTGTTCTTTTTATATAACATCATCAATTTCTGCTAATAGTAGCGGTACAAAGTGTATGCAGCTGTGCGGATATCAATTAAGAATAAAATATAATGAAATTCATCTAAATAAGTTAGAACAGTCCTTAAAAAGTACTCTGGTCTGTTTAGTATAAAACAACACACTTTTAGAATGCTAAAAAGGTCAAGGAGAAAAATACAAAAATATATGTGTTATTTTCAATTTATTATATGTATTTAAATGATTATGATTAACCACCTTTTATGGGTCACCATCTTTATGCCAAGGCCTAGGTGAATCACTTCTCATATAATCATTCTTTTTTATTAAAAAAATCAGTTAAGAATATTTCATGTGAAACATGAGAAAAGTGACACTGAGCAAGGCACATAATTACCTCTCTGAGGTTCACATTTGACAGACTCAAGTATGTAGATCCAGAGTTCAACTTAGATCTGTCTGTGATATTTATACAAACAAAAGTAATTCTAATATGTTGACTGATATTTAGATATTATATTTCTGAAGGGTTGTTTTTTTTTTTTTCCTTTAGTTCTGGCAATTCATCTGGTCCAGGAAAATCATTCTCATTTTACAGAGAAGAACACTGAGGCCAGAATACGGGAGTACATTTACCAGAAATGGAACCCCTCCAGAAAATGAAAACCTTTTACCATGAACCCAAGACCATTTTGGGTCATAGCAACAAATATTTACTGAATTTGTGTGTCAGGCAAATACTCTGCCTAAAACATTTTGGCAGGTACTAGGGAAAATAGAATCCCTGGCTTTAAGTTTCTGACAATTTTCTCTCAAGTTCTGGTATTACAAATGATGTTTCTCCTTTATACTATAATGCATTAACTTCTGTTTAAAAAAAAAAAAACTAAAATAAAATAAAGCAATAACGTATGTATTTGAGGGGTTAAATTTTTAAAAGAAAAGTCCATCGCAATGTACTACTTTAATGTACATATTTTCAGTTTTACTCAGTTACTTAACTGCCGATTTAGTTCCATTTGAGATTTCAAATATTTGTTCCAAAAAAAAAAAAAAAAAAAAAAAAAAACTCTCTTGTGGAAAGAAACTCCTAGAAATTCAAAAGATGCTGTGTTCTCTTGGGGTCCCTTTTATTCTGAACAGCCTCTTTGCTTTCTTCACCAACTTAAATTGTATTTAGTCCCTTACTAAGTGAAAAGAAAGGCTTATAAAAAAGACATAAAATAGCAACAAAGATTCCAAATGCATCTAGATCTCCAACTTTACTTTTGAATATTTTTTAAAGTTAAAGCACAAGATTACATACAATATTTATTGAATCTCAAAATGTATCCCTTTCATTTATTGTATTAAATGTATTAACATGAACAAATATTGAAATGCCACTTTATCTTAATGAATGTGGGATTATAATTCATTAATATGATATTAATCCTAATTTATGATTATTTTAATTTATGTGCATTTTAACATTTCCATTAGCATTTTTATTAAAAAAATTTGAATAATATATAATTCATGGAAATTTCCATTCACATACAAGGAGTTCTTGAGACACAGAAGGGATCAGTATGGATCATTTTTGTCCACAACATTTTGCTAATTAACAAATGAACTATTGTATTTGGTGTCATTATTATTTATGTTAAAAATTATTTGTGCCATATTTTCTTCAATTCACCAAGCCTTCGGTTATTTAGTGGTATTATAATTTTATGTTTTGATGATCCCTTGTGTTTAAAATTAACTAAGGGAAGTAACTAAGGATAAAAAAGCTTAGGCTTTTGAAAGAACAAAACAACAAAGCTAAGATTCTGGCTTCTCTAACTATATAAACTGGAGAAATTTACTCATTCATTTGTGTTTCAGTTACTTTGCCTGGAATATGGGGATAAAGCGTCTACCCTGCAGAGCTGATTTTAGAATCTGAGACATTAATCTATCTGAAAATTATTAAAACAGAGAAAGGACACTATTAAGTGTGCATTTTTACTTCATATCATATTCGGTCATATGCAACTATCTGAAAACATTGTGATAATCCCAGTTCCAACATAAGTGAAAGCAAATTCTCAAGACTCCATTTAAAAATAGCTTGGGAAATAAAAGAAAAACCTTAGTAAACAGTATATACTTCCTTTTTCTTTCAGAAATTTCACTTTTAGCTTATCCAACTAAAATCCAGATCCTGGGGCCAATGATAATCTCAGAATATTGTTTGTATATATATATATATATATATATATATATATATTCATTTATTTCATCCTATTGTTTGTATCACACATACTCACAAACACAGACATGTACATACTCTTGCACATGACTTGTTCAGGTAACCAACTTGATAATATAAGAAAAGACTGTAGCAAAGTCACCTGAGACTACAGGTCTGGCCTTCTGAAGTATTCAGGATACATAGTTACAAGGTGCAGCTTTTTCTGTTCATCTTCACGTAAATGTGCCAGCCCTGTTCACTTAAATGTAACAACACTATCCCATCAATGTAGCCCACCTAAGAACTCCCTCTCTGAGATTATGGAGCTAAAGATATCCCAAATGCACATAATGTTCACATAATGTGCATCATCAAGAACAGGGGTCTCCAACTTCTAGGTCATGGACTAATTTTGGTCAGGGCCTGGTGACAGGAGGTGAGCAACAGGTGAGCTAACATTTGCACCTAAAAAAAAATACTCTGGATTGTTTAGTATAAACCAAAATGCTTTTAGAATGATAAAAAAGGTCAGAGAAAAATACAAAAATATATGTGTTATTTTCAACTCATTGATACATTTATTTAAAGCTATTATGATTAGCTACCTTTTATGGGTCACTACCTGTGTGATAAGGACTATGTGAATCATTTCTCATTTTTTAGAAACATAAAATGAGCTAAGAGTGTGTCATGTGAAACATTCATGTAAAACACGAGGGGATACATGGTTAAAAGCTGCTGTTTTTTCTGTTGGTCTTCACATAAGTGTGTTATACCTTGTTCACTTAAATGCAACAACACTGCCCTGTCAACATATCCATCCAAGAACCCTTTGTCAGATCATCCTGATCAGCATGGTGAAACCCCGTCTCTACTGAAAATACAAAAAGTTAGCTGGGCGTGGTGGTGCATGCCTGTAATCCCAGCTACTCAGGAGGCTGAGGCAGGAGAACTGCCTGAACCCAGGAGGCGGAGGTTGCGGTGAGCCGAGATCGTGCCATTGCACTCCAGCCTGGGTAACATGAGTGAAACTCTGTCTCAAAAAAAAAAAAAAAAGAAAGAAAGCATGACAGGGACCACATTACACAGAGTTGTGAAACCAAGATACAGGATTTGGATTTAACTACAAATGTGGCAAGAGACCAAAAATAAATGGTTTCGAACGGGAGTCTAACATGATAATAGTTTTGTTGTAATATATTGCAGTCATTTGTGTGTGCTTACAAGCAAACATTACAGAAGCAAGAGAAAGGGGAGGTCAGAAAAAATAAAAAAATATAGACACCAATTCTCAAGGATGCTTTAATTCTGATTCTCAAGGCCAGCCCAGCTTCCAGGATCTGTCACATTTACAACCAGATGAATCCTCAAGCCCTCTGGCCACCCACTGCAGCCTGGTTGGAGAAGCACAGAGCATCAAGTGTGCAATGAATAATCCCATTCATTCACAGTAAGCCTTTAATTTCAGGAATCCTAAAAGGATTGCTACATAATTGAGCTGGATTGTGAGTATCAGCACCATTACACCCTCATCATCTTCCATATATTGGCATAACACCTTCCAATTAAAAGACAAGGTTTTACTATAAAAGTTTCATGGGAAGAAGCATTTGCATTTCATTCTCCTTTGTATTTCCTTTGCCTAGTAAGGTGTCTGGCATATTGTTGGAATCTCAGTAAATATTTGTGGAGTAAAGTGAATATAAAGAAATGGAAAGAAAGGACATTTTTCCATTTATTTTCAAAACAATGATTTAAAGAACAAGACAAAGGAATTTAGAAAAGTTAGGCCCAGGGCCCTAAAATCTACGATAAATGCAAAGCCCTTGAATTTCCCTCTAGGATGTATTCAAATTTAGCCTCCAACATAGGAATTAAGATATTTTAAAGGGGCTGATGGAAGCAAAGATGGGTAGGTGATAGACAGACGGGTAACGGATGAATAATGGATGATAGATGCCAATTATCTTGTACACAGACATCACTGCTTTCAAAATCAGAGTAAGAACCCTGGTCTGCAATATCAGCCATATCCTTCTCAAGGTTGTACATACTGGTTGTGAAAAAATAATGCAAATTACTTTTTCATTCTCTCACACAGGATTCTCCAGGAGCCTAAAGTAATCGTAGGAAAACAGAACCAGGAGAAGATAAATTCTCCTTTGTGAGTAGCTATTTTAAAACCAAATTATGACTCAGTTACCAGAGAAGATCAGACTGGGCCACTCTGCCTACCTCTTCCTCTAGAATAAGATGAGGATTGGGACTGAGCACATTACAGGAGAAACTGCTTCCACATCTGAAAATCAGGCAGCTCTGACATCAAAACTAATTTTGAAGTTTCATTCTATCAAGAAGGACATCATGGGGAAGTTTCTCCAAGTACCTAAGGGCCAGGCATGGTGGCTCATGTCTGTAACCCCAGCCCTTAGAAAAGCTGAGGTGGGCAGATTGCTTGAGCACAGGAGTTCGAGACAAGCCTGGGCAACAAAGTGAGACCCTGTATCTAAAAAAAACACAAAAAATTAGCCAGACATGGTGGTGTACACCTTTAATCCCAACTACCCAGGAGGCCAAGTTGGGAAAATCACTTGAACCTAGGTGTCAAGTCTGCAATGAGCCATGATTGCACCACTGCATTCCAACCTAGGTGACACAGTGAGACCCTGTTGCAGAGAGGAGGAGAAGGGAGGGGAGCG